TTCCCCCAGCACAGCAGCCTGCCTCCTCCTTGCAACAAGCTGTTCCCTCACAGCTTGCTTGCCTCTCTCCATGCTCTCTCTTCTGGGAGCCTCCTCCCACTGGGACACTGCTTCGTTAGCCAGATTCCTCACAGTTGCACTCATAACAGGGCTGCCTGCCCCTTCTTAAGGAAACAAACCACCCTGTTACAGACCCATTTGTGACTGCCAGGAAGTCTGGCCACTTGAGAAAATCCTGGAGTAACAGGGATTTGGGGCCGGGGGTAGGGGGGCAGTGAAATACCCTTTACCCAATTTCAGACCTAGAAGATGGACTTACCAGTGGAAAAATGTGACACTATTGGAGCATCTGCACCTAGCCAAGGGTGTGAACTCCTGGGGCCGCAGGCAGCTGGTTATAAATTCGGGCACCTCAGTCACACTGTAACCCTGTCATTTACTAATGGCTGAGTTCTTCATTTAGCTACACCAACCTCCATCTACAGTAGGGGCTTACTTCAAAGCAGTTCTAGCATGCTGTCCATGCCTCAAAGTTTTTTTGAAGCCCTCAGGGGCTAGACTCGATGATCTTATGAGGTCCCTTCCATCCCCTAATATCTAATGTCTATGAATGGGTTAGTTTCTAAGCAAGTCAACTGGCTGCTGTTTATTCTCCTGGTTCACTAACCACCTAAAACAAGATGGCAAGATAAATCCTATTCTCAGTCCCACCAGGGATTCAATGCTGGCTCACAAGCACAGCTACTGACACACATCAGTACATGCCCTTTGATCTCCATTTTTAGGGATCTAATTTCCTTTCCTATTAGATACCCATGAGGGGCAGCCCTCTGCCTGCCCAAAGGCCCTCTAACACCCATCCTGCTCCAGTTCCCAGGCAATGTGGTCTCATCAGCATCTTCCTACCGGGAAATTTCCAAACAGCAAACAGCTTCCTTTGACTCCCTTTTAAGGAGGCTACCAGGGAGCAAACGGCACTCTATAAGAACGTTAATCCACTCTCCTGCAAGTTATAGAAGATCTAAACATAGCCCCATCCCTTTCCTAAATTCAGCCCCAGATCCTTGACCCTGCAGGGATGAGATAGCTAGATAGATGGCAAAGGACTGCTGCATAAAGCAACAGTTGGCAGTCTGTTTGAGAAGTCCTGGCAGGACTGGGAGGCATTTAGCAGACCTGGGGAAAAACATTTTACAAGATTCTGAGGTAAAACAAGGATCTCGCACCTCTGGCAGTAATGAGCACAAAAATTCATCCATCTATTTTAAAAAGTGCACACATGAATTCAGGCAAATGGAAGGAGTAAAAAACAACTAGTGGTAATTAGTTGGTAGCTGAATAAAATCATCTGCTGAGTCCCAGCTGCAATGGAAGTGAGACTCTGGTTTGTAAATGCAAATAAAGTACTTGAGGTCTAATTAAACTGTATAGAGCAAAATGCGGCCTGTGGGCCAGATGAGGCCTGCCAAGCCATTCTATCTGTCCCGCAGGGCCCCTAAAAAATTTAGAAAATTAATATTTATCTTCCCCTGACTGCCTGTCACACAGCCCTCGATGGCTTGCCAAAACTCAGTAAGCAGCCCTCTACCCAAAATAATTGCCCGCCCCTGATATAGAGCAAAGCATGAGACGGGCACAACAGTGCCAACCACAGGTTGTTCCTGGTATATATTGCTGCTAACAACAAACGCAAAGAGGCTTTCAAGTCTGGTGTTTGTACAACAGTACACAGCGTTCAGAAAGAAAATAAGAACAGTACAGGATATGGTACCGAAGAAAAAATGCAATGTTTTTATTGGGGCCTGTTGTGAGGAAGACCAGCAATAATAGTTACGTTTCTAAATAAATCATTAAACTCCAGCATTGTTAAACAAGAGCTCCAAATTCTCAAGTTGACATCTATCAACACAAGCTATAAACATTATCATTTCATGAATGTAAAAGGCCTCTGGAATTTCTCAGCCATCTCCTCATTGACTGCAGTACTGTTAGGCTCCAAGTACTGTGGTGATTTACAGCACCCATCTCATGACAAGCAAATGCATTTTCTAATAGAAGCAGGATAGGCTGAGAAGTGAGGAGGACAGAGACACCAAGTTGCAGAGGGGAATGTGTGCATTGGGGAGGACCCAAGTTTCATCCTCAGCACACAGCTGAACCCATATAAGGAACACTTCCTCATGTTCCCACCAAAGGCCTCTTACCTTTGCAGCATTCTGTTTGGGTTTCAGCCAGTCTGGCAACCTTTGCTGGCAGAGCTTCCTTTCTGTCTGCTGAGTTCCAGGACTCAGGTGCAACGCAATCTGTAGCATCCTTCTGATCATGAGTACACAAGACATGCATAAGGCCTCCAGCCAGGCCATGGCAGACAGCACCAGAGAGGAGCCCATGATAGTACAGAAATCACCAGCAGCTGGAGGGGCTGTGTGAGTTGGGCAAATGGAGAAGGGTCTAGCTGGCTTGGAAAGAAAAAGGTACTAAGGACACAAAAACAGCAGAAAGGAAGGGGGACACTAGAACAAATTTCAGTTTCAGAGAAGCATCCAATTTGGGGCCACCTATCCAGAGTGACCTGTGAAGGAGCATCTCTATCCAGTGATATGGGAAGTGAGCTCAATACCTGTTGCCCAATTTATGCAGGTAAGCACCTACATTATAGGAGCTACCATTGCCCACAGCACTCTTGTAGGCTATCCTGGCAGAGGAACTGAATGGCTATAGATGGTGAATTATCTCCTTACCCTTGGAGATGGTCTCTTTTCCAGAACAACTTCGAGGCACATTGGTGGGGTGGTGTTTGGAAGCTTGCAGTGCTATTAGCCAAGCTGTGCCTGTCCTGTGAGGAAGAAGAAATGATAATTAGCTTCAGTGGCCATCAATCCTTCACAGTGCTGCTAACTGCACTATTTAAAAAGCCCATCTGCCTCCCATGAGCAGTGAGACACGGTATGCAGTGGAGAGTGGCAGAGCACGGTGTTCTGCAGCACGGTGTTCAATCTTCCCACCCATTTCTCCCTACTTCTGAATTTCTAATGCTGCAGAGAGAATCCACTAAAAATACCAGGGCTGAAGAAAGGGAGAGCCTACAAATTGTGGAAGGATAATGCCACAAACATGTGGCCTGCATGGAGGGAACTGAGACTAAAAGTACCTATATTTCCTCTTATGGATCACACCAGGGAACTGGGGTGCCATGGGCACTAAGGTGCACAGTTGACAGCTCAGAGGTCACAAGCTTGAGGCCAGAGCAGAAGCACTCACGGCACAACCCTGTCAGATTCCAATAAATCTGTATATTCTGCTAAATACCTTGTCACAAGGACACAAAAAAGCAAGGAGTACACAAGCCCTTTTCTGCAGTGCTCAAAGGCCAGTATTCCCAGGCATGTGCTCTCCTCAGGTCTCAAGCTGGTGAGCTGCTCCCCAGGAGAGAACTCCTGCACCTGCCCAGAGACTCTTGAGTTCAATACACATTACAGCTAGAAGGATCAAGGCCACCCCAGAGTGGTTTCTTTCAGAAACACTTCAAGGAGAGGATTCAAATGAACAGATCAGTGGTCAGACTCTTAGCATGCTCCCCTAAGAATACACTCCTCTTTTAGTGTTAATTTTAACAGACAGAGCCCTGTCATCAGAACTGAAGCCCCTCCTGCTCACTCAGGGTGCTTCTGTCTAGTCAGTCCAATGCACTCACCCCAAACCTTGCATATTCTAGTGAGGCCAGACCAGAACATATATGGGAGGGCACAGGACAGGAGTGCTTAATCTGATCCTACATGGTCATGTGCTCTGGAGCTGACCTGTCATATTGATTCAAAATGCATGCCAATGTTTAATTAAAGACTAGACATCATTGCAGCTAGAAAAATGGAGTAGCTGCACTCTAAATAGAACAGGGTTTCTGGGGGGAAAGAAAATAATAGCTACATGCAACAGCACTGGAATCAATATTGGTACATTTGCTTCTATGATGGCACTGATAGCAGCATATCAGTTTTCCACAAGGACACCATTTATCTGTCATAATTGCACTCCAGATCCTGGTAGAACTAAAGCCCTTTGACCTAGAAGGATGCATCTTCAGGGATACACACCTCCGCCCTGTTCCAATAAAAATAATGAATAAAAGCAAGCTTGCCAGTGTTTCCAAGGCAGGACAAGTCCATTTCATCTTAGCAGCATTGGCCTGGCTCTGCAACAGCTGATATGGAAGCAATGCTGTACTCTCAGCTAAAGCTATTTATATATCAATATGGAACTTTTTCTCTCTCTTTCATGTTGAGCCATATGTTCAGAACAAACAGGTTTGAAAACAAAGCTTGTTCTTGCTTTGCCATTACGCACATCAAACACCTTGCTCTCATGCAGATGGTTTGGGCTCAATCACAGGCAAGGCTGCACCATTCCATTGACAGAAAGCACTTTTCTTGTGGTGGGAGAAACTGGAATGGAACCCAGAGGCTTCTTCCCCTCCGCAGGAGAGGAAGCTACTGAACATGTCTAGGAATTGGTTCCTCCCACTGGAGCTTTACTCTGACCATTGCTATGCTCTGACAAACCTGTGGAATAAAGTCTCAGGCCATACCAGGGAGGGAACCCTGGTAAAAATTCAGGGCTCTATTGCAGTCCTTTCTGCTGGTCTCTTCTGGCTTCCAGTGGACTTTACTAGCTGCTCGTCTAATCAGAAACTTCCATTTCTTTCCATCAGAAAAAATTCCAGCATTTCCAAAAATGTATTTTCATTTAAAAAATGAATGAAAGGTGAATTTTCTAAATTTTCCACAAAACCAATAGTTTTTGGTGGAACCTACCCCTTTTCTTTGCACCTTTCCATCTCTACAGAAGGAAGGATGGGGCCTGTCTATGACTAACTAGAATGATCTGAACCTTTCCAGGTTATAATTCCATATGGGAAAATTGATTTTCTAGCCTTTGATGCAGATAAGAAAAGAGTGGGGTGTTGTGTGTCCTCATCCAGTACCTACTGCCAAGTCAGATCCATCTCAGAAGTGTCAGTGCCTCCCATATCAGATTTTCTCCCAACACCTACCTTCTGGATAAGCATTTTCCACTCCCTCTTAGCTAGCAAGGTGCAGGTAAAAGGAAAGGCAGATATTTGGGAGATAACTCTACTGGGAGATTCTACTGTAAAATGAGATGCAAGGCAGTGTTAACGCTACTCACAGAGAGAAAAACCTTCTGTCAGTCACAGTCTACCTGCAAAGTCAACAAAGCAAAAACAACAGAAGAGGGATAGTGCAAGCTTAGAAGTCCATTCACTGCCCCTAATGTTATACATTCAAATGATAAACAGGAGAATGATACTATGCTCATAGCTAATCCCTGCACTTTTGTGAATTAGTAGAAGTATACAAACCAGTGTACACACACACACACACACACACACACACACACACACACACGAGTGGGATAATATATGACAAACACAGACACACACACGGAACAGGATATTGCATAACAAAAATTTGCAAGTGCACATATAGACACAGAGCAGAATAAAGCAGGTCAACATGCAGTTTGCTCACTTACTTTGTCAACTGTGGTTTTAATCATCAATGCTCCTACTTCCTAATTTACCACAAAATTCATGCAGTACATTTTTCCGTTGTAATCCTGAAACCGATTACTAGTACCTACCAGTACATTTTTCAAGACAAAGCAGGTTAGAGGTGTGCCTTATAAACCAGGGGTGGCTAACCTGTGGCAGCCTGTGCGTGTGGCATCTGGAAGACCAGGGAGAAGACAGGCAAAACAGAAGCCAACAGGGCAGAAAGCAGAAAGCAGAGCAGGAGATCAGGCAAAGAATGCAGAGTAGGGAGTAGAAAAAAGGAGCATCATATTAGGCAGAGGAGGGGAATTCAAGTGGCACTTGGAGGGGGCCTGGGGCTAATTTGTGGTATGTCTGCCAAAAAGGTTGGCCCACATTTACAGACTAGCTGAATCAGAGGTGGAGAGCATCCATCACTAATGTACCTAACCAGAAACCATGGCTTAGCCAGTCTCAGAAGAATTTTACTGAAACCCTCCTACACAAGCAGTCCTTGATCCATTATAGTTCATTCCTGGGATCCCAGAGGATGTGACCATACTTCAGGATTTTAAATTTAAGATGATTAGTGCCAGTGAGAGGATTGGGAATTACTGCTTGAAGTCTGCCTTGTAAGAAAAGCATATTAGCTAACCGTAATGAGTCCTAATGTATTAAGAAACTCAACTTTCTCTCCTGATAGGGAAGCTAGGCTTCGGGTAACTGGGAAGCCTACTAAATTCACTGTAGAATAAGCTGCTTGCTAGTTATGTAAATAGCTTGACAGGCAAGAGCACTGAAGATTAAATCACAGAGGAAATAAGCCTGCTCTGTAATGATAATGCCATGCTGTCTGCCCTGTAAATAATGAACTATGTGCTTTCTTGAAATCTGGTGATGTGACCCAGGAAACAAACCCTGTGATCAAGTTACACGTTCTGACTAGACAACAAACTGGGAAAGAGACATATGGTTTCATCCATGCAAGTTGCTCCATTTAGGACCATTTGAAATGAGAGCAACTGTGTAACAACCATAGGCTACTATCGGATGGGTATAAGCATCATCAGCTAACATGATAGTGGCCCCATTATGCAGAAGCTGCAGTCTGGTTCCAGTGGTCTTATGCAGCCTTTATCTGAATTAGTTTATGGCCATGATAACAGCATTGGAAGCCAACTGTTTGATGCTCTGTCTGCACCAGACCCTGAATATAATGAGCTGAAACAACTTTAAGATTTTAATATATTTGTGACGGGCTAGCTGGCAGTGACCTAGCCCAGGGGTTTTGAAAGGGCAAAAGATGATCGGAGGACTTGGGATTCCCTTTCCTCACCAATCTGGTAGTGATTTGGGCCAGGGGTTTTGAAGGGGTAAAAGATGATTGGAGGACTTGGGATTCATGGATGATAGATCTATAAAGAGCTATTCCTCAGAAAGGTTTAGAGAGGCTGGAGGAACACCTCCAATTGATAATGGTTGATGCCAGGGAAGGTAATGAATAGGGGCTAGATCACTCAAGAAATATCTTTTTCAATGCTCTTCCTTTATAGCAGTGTTTCTCAACCTGTGCATCACAAGAATGTATGAAAGGGTCATGAAGAAACTTTAAAAATGGATTCTCCTTTAAAAGGAGAAAAACATGGGAAATTGTGGCTTTACCCTTGCAGGCTGGCAGAGCTCCAGCCTGCAAGGGGCTGCCTGGGGCCTCCCATGCCCCATGCATGCCCCACACACCCACCCCCTGCCCCACACACTGGTAGGCTGGGGGTGGGGGATAGTGGGTCGGGAGCGAGAGACATTGGGTCGGGACCTGGCCGATGATTTGATGTATTGTATTCATGTTTACAAATGGGTCCTGGTACAAAAAGTTTGAGAACCACTGCTCCATAGCATCCACTTCTGCCACTGCTGAGGACAGATACTGGACTAGATGGACCACTGGTCTGACCTGGTATGGCATTTCTTATGTTCTTACGGAGGTAGCTCAGGGTCTAAAACCACTGCGTATTGATGGCAGTGAGAAATGGAAGTAGCAGAGGACCCACAAGGCTTTCCCCAAAACCCTTGTCCAACAGCTCTTCCAACTACACAGTAGTTTCAAATATTCATGAATGCCAAACCCACATTTTAAATACACTTTATACACTTACAGCAGCTCCTTGAGAGGTTTGTGCTTGCTGCCGCCAGGCTCCCGCCACTGCACTCCCACCATCGCTGCCAGGGGCACTATGTTCATGAATGCAGTGCCTTATTCGTGGATTTCACCATTCGTGGGGGATATGAAA